TCAAAGTAAATGTGTTTTTCAAATTGTATAATCATAACCTTTATATACTTGAAAGGAATTTGAAAAATTATATGGAAAAGATCATTGACATATTTTATAACTTCAAAACATATTTATCAAGTCAAGATCTTTCACAAAAAGTAGTTGGAAGCAAGCTAGAACACATTTTAACTTAAATTTGTTGCTTAATTTTGCTGCTGCCTTCCATACAATTTTTCGTATCTAATATGATGGATTTGGATATTGTGTTCTCATAAAAGTTGTAGATCTCTCTTTTATTTTTCTAAAGAGACCAAGATCACATCAATCCGACAAGTATAACTCCAATTATAGCCAAAATACGAAATAGTGTTCTTGCTGTCAAGTTGGGAATCGACTACCACTGCAACAGATCCCAACGGCTATAAAACGGCTAGTTTTTAAAAGTGGTCCCAACGGCTATAAACAGCTATAAAACGGCTAGTTTTTCAAATGAGATCCCAACGGCTATAAACAGCTAGTTTCCCAACGGCTAGTTTCTCAACAGTTAGTTTTCCAACGGCTATAAACGGCTAGTTTTCAATGAAAACACTATATATGCATTCACAATGACTCAAAAAGATTGGGCATCATTTCTACACATATTAAGCATGCTTTGAGAGCTTCTACACTATCGTTTTCATATTCTTTCATATCTTTCAAAGATCAAACAAATTTGAGCTCATATCTTAAAAATTCATATACCCATAGTGCTTCAAGTTGTATATCCACACTTTGAGAGTGTATATTCATTTCTAAATATTTCCCTCCTTGTATTCTTGAGTTGAAAGGGTTGTGAGACCCATTGTTTGAGAGGTGGCCAAATACCTATGTAAATTTGGAGTGAATTATAAGGTTACCAAGTACCAATAAACTTGGAGATTGAAAGGTATCCAAGAACCCGAAGTCTTAGAAGATTGTAAAGGTTTTTCAAGCACCCGTGAAGCTTGACCATTAGTGAAAGAGTTGATCGAGCGACTTCAGTCTGGACGTAGATCACAAGTGGTGGTGACCGAACCAGGATATATAGTGTTTGCAATTTTGTAAACTCTAAACTTTTTATTTCTAGCACTTTAATTGCTTCTTTGATATCTTGTATGTGCTAGTATAAATTCTACAATTGTGATACATTATATGTTATGAATTGTTTGAATGCATTGATTAGCTTTTCATATGTCAAAGTGTGCTTGAAATGATTATTTAGAAACTAGAAGGGGGCTTTTGCGAAAATCTTGTAATACTTAATTCACCCCCTCTTGAGTATGGAAGCCATATTCCTAACAGTTTTCGTATGTGAATTTTTAATATAAGTAATATGTTTATATTTTTTTAATATCTGAACAGTAAATCCGGTTGAACCCAGTTGAACATGGTCGAACCAATGACCTAGTACCTCGACTGAGTCGATGACCGGTTCAAGTTTTAAAATACTGTTCCTAACAATAAATTGACGTTCAAAAAGGGAGTGCCTGTCATGCTTTTGAGGAATATAGATCAATCAAGAGGGTGTGCACATGATTGCTTATTACAAAACTTGGTGAACATATTGTTGAAGGGAAAATTCGTTCAGGCAATAACATAGGTGAGATCGTGTTAATCTCAATGATGAATTTGAGTCCTTCTAATTACACCTTCCCTGTAAAGTTTGAACGCAGGAAATTTTCATTGGTTGTTTGTTTTGCCATGACAATAAACAAGAGTTAAGGTCAGACTTTATCTCATGTACAAATTTATCTTACAAAACCAATTTTTACTCATGGCTAATTGTATATTGCTCTCTAGGGTCAAAAGTAAGAAGAGTTTAAAGCTTCTCATACTTGACGATCATGGCATAATTGCCAATATTACAACAAATATTGTATTCAAAGAAATTTTCCAACGATTGAAATAAATTAATTTATCTTATTTGTTGAACTATTTTACATTAATTTACAGAGTTTGTTATTTTTCTATAATATGTAATGTACCATAATTTTACTCTTTATTATAATAAAGACGACAACCCTAAAAATAATTTGATTTTTAAGTTGAATTTGTATCTTTACTTTACTTGTACTTTAACCCATTATATAACTTCTCATTCCACATTGTAGATTTCTTTTGAATTAAAAAAATAAAAGTATACAAAAAATTATATTATATTTTTTTTAGATATATTATTAAATTTAATTTTAATTTATGCATAGTCTTATGAAGAGTTTTTTAAACACACATATCTTATTTAAATATTATTATTAAATAGAACAATGCTTATTTACAAATGATTATTTTTTTTGATAAATCACAAATATATTCCATGAGATGTAATTTTATTCGAATCGGGAACATTCATGTCTAAATATATTCAAATCGGGAATATTCATGTCTAAATATATTGACTATATTTGGCTGAGTGAATATATCATGGAAATATATAGTTTCCTAATATTTTAATTTTTAAGCAGCAAATGATTTCTGTTTGGATAAAATTCTCTGTAACTCACCCTCTTTCTTTATTTATTTTTTCTCTCTCTTTTCTTTTGCTTTCTCTCTCAATTATTTTGTTTTCGTGGGGGAGAGAAAATTTATTCTGCGACACTTTCTTTCATATTAAGGGGGTGTATTGGATTAGAATTTTAAAAGACTTTTTTTGAGATAAAAATCTTACAGATTTTAAAAGACATTTTAGAATTGGAGAGACTTTATAGACTTTTTTAAAAGACTTTTTTTACAATCAAGATTTCATAAGATTGGATTTTAAAGAATTTTAATAGAATTCATAAGATTTGAAAGGACAATATGGATTTATAAGATTTTAAAAAATTATATGAATTTTTAGCAAATATTCAAAATTACAAGAGTCAATAAAAACAAATAACAAAGAAATACAATGATATTAATAAAAAAAAGTAAACTTAACAACGGGTTGAAAAATTATCTAAAAAATTACTAAGCAATAACTCTTCACATAATATAATTTTCTCAATAAGTTTGAGTTTGAGTTTGATTTGCGAAAATAATAACCATATATCAACGGTTAACTTCCAAGTTAAATATTAATTAATGAGTTTGATTTGTTAAAATAATAACCATTGATTGACGAAAATCAACGGTTAAAATATGGTTGTAAACAAAAATAGGTTGTAAGTATAATATTCTCCATAAAAAAATAACAAAGAAATGCAATGAAATTAATAAAAAAAGCAAAACCTAATATAATTTTCTCAATCAGTAAAACATAATATAATTTTTGACAAACATTCAAATTACTAAACAACAGCTTTTCACATATCTAATGAGTTGAAAATTATCTTCTTCATTTGGTATCAAAGTTATGCATATATGATTATAAGACCCAAATTTTTTTAATTATAAAAACAATTCTAAATTTGCATATAAAACCTAAAGTTCATGATAAAATTTCGTTTGAAATTTTTTGCAATTGAACTTGAAAACCTTGGAGTTTTTGTTTTACGTGATGAGAGTTTTCTAACCATATATCATATGCATATTTCATTGAATATTCTAAGAAAATTTTGAATCTGAAATTTTGGGTTTAATTACATGAAAGTTTAGAAAATTTCTCAATTTTTTTTTCAGTTGATACATTGAAACCTTAAATTGCTTTGGGGCTTTTGAGAAACAAGTTTTTAGTTATCTATTGACACAAAAATTGTTTGAAATCATTTTCTATAGTGAAGGAATTTCGTTCATGAATGTATTGTTACGAAATATATGGTTCATATTATGAAAGTTTCAATCTTTCTTTAAATTGATATTGCTTCATTGATGTAAAACGAAAATTGGTTTGAAGGTTTTAGTTTTCCTGTTATTTTTTCACTATTTTATGTTGTTTTTAATACAAAAATCACACGTTTTTGTGCCAAGAAAAACCACGACCCATAGCTTGAACAATCACTTTTTAAACTTCCAAAATTTCTCAAAAATAGCTCAAAAATATGTTATTTTTGAGATAGATTATATTAAAATCTCGTTGGTTTGTTGTTTCTGGGTTGTTTTGTGATGAAAATCACTGAAAAATGTTTTTTTTTTTAGTTTTGACGAAACTCCCATGACCCAATTTCGAGCAGTCAACCTGCCAAAGGAAGAAGAAAATACTGCAACAGAAGAATCTCAAGAAAACCTAAGGTAGTGTTTGGTTCGATAGAAATTTTTTTTTACTAGGGAAATGTAATTGATAGGGAAATGGTTGGAAAATGAGTTTGGTAGGAAAATGTAAAAAAAGTTGTTTGGTTGACCCAAATATTACTAGGAAAATTTATTTAAATATGCAAAATCTATGTTAGGGAGAAACTTTGCACCTGTTTTTTCACTTCCCCAGTTATCTCAAAATACCACATCTCAAGTGGTATTCTGTAACAGTGAATTTCATCCAAAAATCAACACAAAAGTCATTTTCCCATCTATCCTATTTGCCTGGTATTTCTTGAAAAACCCTGAACCAAACGTGGTATTTTCCAATATTCACTTACACTTTTCCATCAATCTCAAAATAAACCTTCAACCAAACACTACCTAAGGGTTGGGGTGAGATTGTGAGAGAGACATCCTATTTATATTTTTCACTAAAAAGTCTCACGAAATCCACACCAATAGAAAATCCATTAAAATCGTTGGATTTTTGAATACCACGAGATTGTGATTCCATTGTTTAAAATCCTAATTGAATACCAACGAATTTAGACGTATTTTAAAATGATCTTTTAAAATCCTAATCGAATACCACGTGACTTTTTTTCAATCCATTAAAATTCTAATCGAATACCAACGGATTTTTTTATCCAAAAACAATCCATTAAAATCCTTTAAAATTCTAATTTTATTTTTTATCTCTCTCTTTTCTTTTGCTTTCTCTCTCAATTATTTTGTTTTCGTGGGGGAGAGAAAATTTATTCTGCGACACTTTCTTTCATATTAAAGCAACAGTGGAGTGGAACTAGAAAACCCTCTCTATTTTTATACCCTTTGATATCTTATCCACCGTCTAGACTCTCGGTTCTCTTACTAAAACCCTGTGAATATAAACCCCCAAACCAAAAACAAACAAAAAAAAGAGAGAAAACAACGAAATGCTCCTTCGTGCTTCACTCTTCGTCCCTGCTTGTTCTCACACCTCTCTTAATAATCTCTTCCCTTCTTCTCTTCCAACATTAACTTCCCCTCACCAATGGCAGTTTCAGTTGCATTTGAAACAGCATAATAGAAAGAGTCACGTTTTGTTGTCAAGCACAGACAACGCCAGTTACGAAGTTGGTGGTGGATACACACACGAGGAGTTTGATGCACAATCCCTTAATCAAATGATCCAAAATCAAAACACCGATACGGATACGGATACGGATACATCTTCTCAACGTGAAGCACTCCTTAAAGGAGGAGAACAAGTCATCTCTGTTCTCCAAGAAATGATTACTCTTGTAAGTTATTATTATTATTATTAAGCAGTATCATACAGTTGATTTTTTTTTTTTTTTTTTTTTTGTATTTGTATTTGACATATATAATTTATTGAGAATAAATAATTATATAATACAATAAATTATAATCGGTACATGCACGAAAATTAACAGTTAAAATTTGGTGCGGACTTATTATTCTTACAATTGATCATATTCTTATTATTATTATTGAATGTAATTATTCTGATGAAGGAGTAATCCATTTATAGTACACAGGGAAGCTTGTACATGAAGCTTGGAGTACTGGAATGTAAAAATAGGATCAGTTACACCTGATCAAAACTAGTGTAACAACCTGAACTTATAATTAACTAACTAACTAGTGGTGTAGTTTACACCCTGTAGGCTTGGTTCTGGAGCATACCAGCGACCAACTAATACAATACAAAAGATATAGAATAAGCAATGCGACTAGGAGTAAGCGAGGGAATAAAACGTTAGAGAAATTGCATTCTTCTATGAATTGTTCTTTTGTTATTATGGAATCAGAACTTTCCTAGAAAGTGAGAGAAAATATGAGGAAGGGGAAGAGAGTTAGAGAGAGAACAAGAATGGATACTGATTTACACTTGTGTACATGATCTGTTAGTTGTTACAACAGTCTCAGAGACTGTTATAACAACCTAACAGACAGCTCTAACAGATTCTGACATAAGTAATTATAACTAACAGAGAGAATATACTCTAATATCTACGACAGTGGATCCTGTCATATGTTATTTAATATGACCATATCATGTGGGAGGATCCTAGTTGTACAAGGGTGAATTAATAGTGATAAGAGAAGAAAGAGAAAAAAATATTGCGAAGGAAGTTAAAAAATCATCACCATTGATTTGTTCATTGATGGTTAAGATCGTTTGACATGATATGGTCATGTTTAATAACACGAGATGATTCATTTCCAATATCTACTAATTTTTTATGTCACCAGAGTGCATGTGTAAGTGTGTGAATATTTTAATTTCGTAAGCTTGTGCATTACAACTGATAAGTGAGGACAATCTCTTCTATTGTTTGTTTGTCATTGACATAGTGTTGATACACTATTTTAAAGGTGCTCATTTTCTTCATCATCTCCTCTTTTTGCGCATTTTTGCTTTTTTAGTAGCTTATAAGTTATTATTTTACTTTTAATGGGCTTCTAATATTAATGGTTGAAAACATGGAAGCTATGTGTGCTAGCCACACACATTTTCTTGGTGAAGATCATCTGATGATATCTGTCTCAGTTCTAAACACATTTTAAGCGCACTGTGCAATTTTTTCTTCTTTAGCAAATATTTTTGTTCTTGGTCATGTCTATGTGCTTTCACTTTCAGCTATTGCATGAAAGCTTATTGAATCCTAATGTGTTATGTTGTCATGAGAACCCTATTACAAGTATCACTTTGTGTCCAGTTGGAAGACATGGACATGGATGAAGAATCTGAAAAAGTGGCAGTGGAGTTGGCTGCACAAGGAGTTATTGGAAAGAGAGTTGATGAGATGGAATCTAATTTCATGATGGCCCTTGATTACATGATCGAGCTTGCTGAGAAAGACCAGGATGATAAGGTATGATTTTTGAACAGGAGTTTAAAACTTGTTTGTCAACGAGGGTTGGCATAGTTGGTCGAATCTTTGGTAGGCAATATGTAATCCCATTTTAAATCCTCAATGAGGTTGGTGGTCTTAAAAAAAAAAAAAACTTGTCTAATTTTATTTAGAAACATGCATGTTCCATTCCATTCAGAAAGCTCTCCAATTATATTTTATGACTTCTACATTTGGATCCTTTATTGGAAACTGATTTATGTCCTTTTTTTTTGGTTTTATTTCGTTTTATCATGTTTTTGTTTCTGTTTTCCTAACGCGAGTCTCATAGACTGCAGTTGCTGCAACTTATTTGAACTAATACAAGCACACAATTATTGGTCCTTCTTATTAGAAAATATCAAGAGAAGGATATTTGTACCTCTCGTTGTCCCTCAACTCCTCTCTGCCCTTAAATTTTAACTTGATCGGTGTTTAGTAAGTAGTATCCTTTAAATGATGCCACTATATCTTGTTGAGCAAAGAAACTGTCATCAGTTGTTGTGATTGGGAATTAACTGCTTTTGTATTTCCATCCAGCGCAAGTCACTGTTGGAAGTTATCAAAGAGACAGTATTATCACATCTTACAAAAAAATGTCCACCCCACGTAAGGAAGTTCTTTGAGCCAGTTCTTAGTCATTTTTCCTATTAAAGAATGGTTCCAAATCCAACTTCTATGTTGTATATCAATGTGCACTTTTGCCCTTCAACTTCTAGGTTCAAGTAGTTGGTCTTCTATGTAGAACTCCCAAAAAGGAAAGCAGACATGAATTATTACGCCGAGTTGCAGCTGGTGGTGGGTTATTTAAAGGCGAGAATGACTTGAAGATTCATATCCCAGGGGCAAATCTAAATGACATAGCCAACCAAGCTGATGATTTATTAGAGGTATGTATAGAAACTTCAAGCTTTATATAAATTACCAGGTCAGGTCCTTGCAGTCTTTCAAACTTTAAATTGTCTTGTAATCATACTTGGTGACTATTTGATGAAGGTTATTAAAATGTCTTTTTATTAAATGAGAGCAAAGTGGACTTAAATCCCTTGAGGTTGGCCTAAATTACATTGTCCTCTCGTTTCAATAATTTCATACCTCGAAATGATTGTAATTTTCTCTTTTTTCTTATTGTTAAGTAAAGAGGGTGAGCCTGGAGCAATGGTAAAGTTGTTCCTTTGTGACTGAAAGGTCACGTGTTCAAATTCGAGAAACAGTCTCTTAGCCACTTTCGCTAGTCGGGATTTAATGGGGAGTGTTTATTTTTTTCTTATTGTTAAGAGTGGGCTTTGGCTTGTTTATAGATATTTTATATTTTGTACCTATGCACTAATAATATATTGTGGCCTAACTAAAGAAAATTAGAGCTTTTCAACCAAATACAAATATCCTTTCTTTGCACCTGTTCTAGTATTTTGGACTGGTGAAGTTGCAAGGGTTCCTTTGGAATTCCCTGTTAATGGTTTTCTTCAAAAGTTTCCCCTGAAAGATGTATCATTGGATATTGAATATCAGGAGATGATTGTGATAGGATCTAGCAAAATATCAGAGTAAAATGCAACAAAACACCAACAAATGGCCCAGAGAACTGGATTTTCTTTGATATATTAGTAAGGGAAAGTACAAATTACAGAGACAATTCAGAAGTAATGGAAGAAGAAAGGAAAAATACAAGAATAGCTAAAATGTTTTCTGGAGCAATTCGAGAGGCTCCATATTTCTCTCATAGTCTGGTTTTCTAGCCCAAGTATGTCCAAATTCCCAATCTACCTTTACACACTACACATTCCCCCTCTTATACTCAGCCTAACCTCCTAGAATATTCTAAAGTTAGTTATGCCACCTCATTGGTAGAACATAATCCCCTACAACCCACCTTACATGCACCTACATATATATTCCTATCAATACGCTCTCCCAAAACATTCACCTTGCCCTTAAGCTGGGGTTCAGCCCCAAAAAACCTTCCACCGAGATCCCATTGCTTAAATTGTAGAGTTCCATATGTGCCCGAGGTATGATAATGGTAACATGGGTCCCCACATAACAAGTGCAGTTGAGGAATTTGGCAGCGATGTTCGAGATTCCATCTTGAATCACAATTCCCACTTGCCTACCAACGCCTCTACTTTCGACTCGATAACCATCGCCCGCCATTACTCTGTAATTAGGTGTCTCCACCACTGATTTCCCCAAAAAATTGTGAGACGCGCCACCATCCTCCAACATGACCGCCTTGTCCCCATTGATTGAACCCTATACTTTCATGGTTTGGGTTGAAGAGAGCCAATAGGCTGTACATGGAAAGTTGGAGGGTTTACGTTTCTTCCCTGGTTTCCGCTTCTTCCCTCCGTTCTTCCTCCTCGTGTGTAGGCTCTGGTCCTCTTCGCCTTCACTTTCTTCTTCTTCTACCATGAGCCGGTGGAGCTGCGCCACCTTGCAATGGTGATTCAGGTCCCATTTCTCCTCACATTTGAAACAAATTCCCCTCCTCATTCGATCCTGGAGTTCGTTTTGTGTCAGGCGCCTTCCCTCGACCCTAGAGCCACTGTTAGCAGCTCCATCGACGATTCTGGAAGATGAAGTCAGCCCCACTCCACGTGTATTATTGGCTGCCTGCGTGTCAAGCCCTGCTGCTCGTGTGTCACCTCCATTTCCAGTGTGGCTTAAGGGGATCACGTGCTTGGCAGCAGATGTTCCTTGAGTGAATCTATTGGCCTGAAACCCACTGTTAAGCCCATTTCCCTTGCTACCAGTTCGCAACCCAAACCTATCGTTGGCCTAAGCATCTTTCGTCTTCTTCATCAGCGTGGTTTCATACGTCATCGCCTCCTTCATCATCTTCGTCGACTTAGGTGGCTTTTCCCACAAAAGCTTCGTTCGATAACTTCCTGTAACGTCCACACCATTGCCTCGAGGAAGCTCTAGCTTAGGAGCTAGAAAATCAATGTGGTGAACGTCTTCGTTGAAACTCTCTTCTGATTCCGTCGATTCAGAACTCCTTTTGTAATAGCGACCCCACCGATGATAGCGTTCACGATTAGATCTTCCCCTGCTTCGCTAATGTTGAAGGGTCTGTAAGATTTTTGTTAGCTTTTGATCAATTCTACTAAATGTCTCTGCTACAATTTCTCTATTCCGACGGAAGTGTTCTTCGGCGGATTAGAATCTAGCATCCATGTTGCAGGTTAATTCCATTCAAAGCACCCCTAGAATCGGAGTGCTCTGATACCAATTGATAGGATCTGGCAAAATATCATAGTAAAACGCAATGAAACACCAACAAATGGCCCAGAGAACTGGATTTTCTTTGATATGTTAGTAAAGAAAAGTACAAATTAGAGACACAATTCAAAAGTAATGGAAGAAGAAAGGAAAAATACAAGAAAAGCTAAAATGTTTTCTGGAGCAATTCGAGAGGCTCCAGATTTCTCTCCCACTCTGGTTTCCCAGCCCAAGTATGTCCAAATTCCCAATCTACCTTTACACACTACACATTCACCCTCTTATACTCAGCCTAACCTCCTAGAATATTCTAAAGTTAGTTATGCCACCTCATTGGTAGAACATAATCCCCTACAACCCATCTTACATACACCTACATATATATTCCTATCAGATTGGAATGCTATTCTTTTTGCTGCCTAGTCTGATCCTCCCCTTTTACTAAATCATGACACACTTCACAAATGCCCGGTACCATCTTAGTGTTGTATATTTTCATTTTCCACATGCAAATTATTTGAATCAAGTTATTTATCTTCTAAGTTGTTTTATGATTTTATATTATTGCATCATGTACCTCACTGAAAACCCCAGAAGACCAATTGATTTTAGGTAACTATACAAATTCCTTCTCAGTTATAGACTTCGTTCAAGTTCTAGTAGGTTCTCGATTTTGGGGGCTACACAAACACACTTTATTTTTTATTTTTTACCATCCATTTCCTTTTTTAAAAAATAAAATAAAAATGTTTCCATATCTTTCAAGAGCCTTTTTTTTCTTTTTTCTTTTAAGTTTATTCTACCGATAATATTTAATTCGATTACTTTTGTTCTTTCAATTGAGTGAAGAAAGTTTCCTCCATCTTGAATCTTGACCAAGGAAACCACATGAATTTTAGATACTTTTTGGTTAATTGTTTTTTGCAGACAATGGAAACTCGTCCTGTTGTGCCTGATCGAAAACTTCTTGCAAGGCTTGTTTTGATTAGAGAAGAAGCTCGTGATATGATGGGAGGGGGAATTTTGGATGAAAGAAATAACCGTGGATTATATACTCTTCCTCCGGCTGAGGTAAGTTACCGTGTAGTTTCCATATTTTTATCTTAATATGGTTCTCACTTCTGTGAAACATTACCTAATTGTATTTCATTTACATCGATTTTATTATTTGTTGATAAAATGGGCTTTCAAATCTCCTCTACATGGATAGAGATCTAAAAGTAAACTTGATTGTTATTCATTGTCAAAAATATCATCTTGGCATCTTTAAAACTGTTGGCAGTGCAGGTGAACTTCTTAGCCAAATTAGTGGCTTTAAAACCTGGGAAAATTGTGCTTGATATGATAAGAAATGTAATGCAAGGAAAAGATGAAGGTGCAGATAACATTGGCAACGATGATGAAGATGACACTACTCATATGGCTTCAAGTGGAAATGGTGGAAGGGTGGGTTGAATTGGATGCATGTGTATTATTTGACTATGGAATGTTTTATGCATGCATGCACATTATAGTCACTTAGCATATTTAACTTGTCTGTCATGATATCCAGACAAGTGTGACAGGACAGAAGCCCCTTCCAGTACGCCCTGGGATGTTTCTTGAGACTGTCACCAAGGTAATGCTATATGTCATGTTTTTTATCTTGAATGGTGTTTTGAAACTAAATGGAAAGCCAAGTGAACAGATAATCCCTTGGAGCTGTAAAATACTTGGTCCAGTTGAACATTTAACCCACTTGAGGCACCCAAATTTTATACTGTGATATTTTACCCCATACTCAGTTCTTGTTAAACACTCTGGTCATTACTCTATTACACATTATATTCGAATGATCTTCTTTCTCTGCGTATGCATTTAACATTGATTATTTTAAATTCTTGTTTTGCCAGGTCTTGTCTGGTATATATGCCGGAACTGACTCTGGCATCACTGCACAACATCTTGAATGGGTAACTTTTTTTTTTCTTTCTTTATCAACTTCATAAATATTTCTATTTCCAAGATCAATTTCTTGCGCTCTCTGTACTTTAGCCCATCGGATAGATAAATGTCATCCTCTTCATTATAAATATCTATTTCTATGCTTAAGCTTCTTTAGTATTTTCATGTTATTTCTGTATTTTTCTTTTGGAATTCCATTAGCTGGCCTTTAATTAAACTTGCTTAACCCGGTATAATTCAGTGCTAGTTTAGCTAGACAGAGTAATTAGGGTTATTTTCAGTTTTTTGTATCTCAAAAATGTTTATTTTACTTAACTATTTTAAAAACAATCAGTTTTTTCATATAACTGTTAGTTGCAATTGCAGTTGAAGTGTTTGGTAACCAGCTTGCAAAAATATATGTTTATGAAGAGGTTGGACTTTTTCCCTGCAGATTGCACAATAGTAATCCCCTAAAATGCTATAACAGAAAGAAAGAATTAGTTTGGCTTTATCAATCTCTTGTTTTCTGTGGGTTCTTCAAGTCATAGTGGAGGGTATATTTATTTCAATGTTCCATTTGGCGTTTCTTATAATTTTTTCAAACTGTGTAGCCACAAGTACCACACATACCGAAAGGAAAATGCAGGTTTGACTAATTCAAGTGCAAAACTAAGTTTGGCGTTTGAGCATACACTACTTGATAATTATTTCCATTTATTAAAGCTGCTTTGGTTGTGCCTAGAGAATAGTTAAATACTTAAATATCACTCCTAAAGAGAATTTATGTTGCTTGAAGCTATGATGGTGGCATGATGCTAATGTGTGCTTTGTTTTGCTGATTGAATCATCTCCTAAAGTAATCAGCTATATATTCTCCTCCATGATTCCCTGAATGACTTGATTCTCTTGTTCCTTTCCCTGTCTTCCAGGTTCATCAAAAGACACTACAAGTGCTTCAAGAGATAGCCTTTAGCTAGTCCTCTCCCTCACCTCACGCTCCCTGGTCAAAAGGTTTAATGAGAAGTGGTTTTTTTTAAGGTGAATTAGGATGGCCCATTCTGTATCCACTTTTTTAGCCTCATGTGCTGCCAAAAGACTTGGTAGGTTGTTTACAGGGATAGCATTACAGATAGTATAAAACATTAGAACCACTGCCAAGTGAATAAAGTAAATTTCTTATATATGCGATTAAGAATGACTTTTTGGACTTTGCTTTGGGTTCTCTGGTTTGAGCCTAAAGTTGTGTTATTTGTCATGGTTCTGCTGAGGGTCAATATTAATTTTGCGTAGTAGTTTATGCTACCGAGTTGAAAACACGAATATCTGGAATCAGGTCTTTAGTCTGATGGTTATCCGCTTTGTAATATGTGTGGGTTCATCCTTTGAACTTGTATTACAAAATAGAATATCGGAGCATTTGTCTCCACGGCAGGACATATATATATATATATATATATATATATATATATATATATATATATATGCAAAATAATTTCTGCAGCTGCTGTACCTACAACAAGCAAGGATACACGTCCGAATCCTAGGATACGGCAACGGATCCTGAGTTTTTTTTTTTTTTTAAGAAGCCGTGGGGCCCACTTTTCTGTGTCAGCTGTAGATAACACTATCTACGGCTGCTGCAGAAATGTTAAGCTATATATATATATATATATATATATATATATATATATATAGAGAGAGAGAGAGAGAGAGAGAGAGAGAGGGAGGATCCTTTGACACCGGTGTTAAATTTGAAGTTTGACACCTCATCTGAGAGCCGTTAGATCAAAAAAGATCAATAGTGTCACATGCTTATAAATCAGAGTCGTTGATCTTTTTTTATATAACGGCTCTTACATGAGGTGTCAAACTTCAAATTTGACACCGGTGTCAAAGGATCCCGCCTCATATATATATATATATGTGTGGGTTCATTTGTTCAGCGGTTAATGTAGATAAATTAGTTATATTGAGCCCAAAACGACGTCATTTTGAAGTGGAAATCAATGTGTTTTTGTAGTTATAATTTATTTTAAGGTTATAATAGTCTTTCTTATTATAATTTTTTAATTTTTCAACCCAAAATAGCGTCGTTTTGGTAGTGAATGTAGATAACTTATCTACATTCACTGTAGAAACGTTAAAGCCTATATATATATATATATATATATATATATATATGGTTTGTTTTTTCTATAGTCAATGTAGATAACTTATTTACAGTGAGTCTAAAACGACGTTGTTTTGAGGCGAAAATTAATGTATTTTTGTAATTATAATTTATTTCAGGGTTATAATAGTCTTTTTCATTATAATTTTTTAATTTTTAAATTTAAAACGACATTGTTTTGGGAGTGAATGTAGATAACTTATTTATATTCATCTACGTTCATTTTAGAAACATTATATATATATATATATATATATATATATATATATATATATATATATATATTATTGGAACTCACCTTGATTTTATTTTTTACATCATAAGATACTCTCCTATGCAACATAAGATTAGTTTTATCTTTTATGAAAAATCACTTTCGTTGGAGGAAGAAAGTGATCTCATGCTATATTCAGTTCGAAAAGTATGCAACTATTTTTATTTGAAAAGAAAATTTGTGGGGGCTCACTTCATATGTCTCCACCGGAAACAAAGCTCCTCACTTACAGCATAAGAAAAATAATGCCCTTATTTTATACACTTTTATTTTATCATGAGTGTTACATGAGCTTAACTTGTTATTACTAGCATGTAATACTGGAATACCGAATCACTCAATGTGATGTATCAGGTTTGTGTCTAATAACAGCATTTCTGGACTGAATTATGTGTAGTTATGGGTGACAGGAATTATTTCAACAATATAAGTTTTTCTATTTGTTTAATATTATTTCCAAAATTTGACTTGGCCAAGCTGAATAGGGATGCTAAACGAGTCAGAGGCCTTTCAAGCTCGATTCATGAAGGTCTGAGTTTACATGTCTAAAATTTGTTATTGAAATCAGGTTTGAACTGACATAAAAGTTAGTTTAATAAAAAGGCTTCAAGCTCTAATTCAAAAGCCCGGTCTTAGAGCCTCTCAAGTTGGCATAGTATATTAACTTTTATTTTTATTTTATATTTTTTATACTATTCATAATTGTCCTCTTTCTGTTCTTAACTCATTTCACTCCATTTTATTGGTTAAACAGACTTTTTGAAAGATTTTGTTCAATATTATGCTGTTTGGATATACATTGAATTTATGAATCTTTGTGGAATTATTAGTGTTGTCGATCATATATTCTATTTGGATAAATTGTTGTTGTCTTATTTTTTTTTAATCGGCTATCAGGTTAAATCAGACTTTTATTTTTTTGTAAATAAGTCAGATCATAGGCCGATAATTATATTCATAACAGGTAACAGATTAGTAAAACTGACACATTTAAATACAGACTTAACCTTTTAAGACCAAAATCCGACCCGACTCGGCCGTTAACACCCCTACCATCCATTATGGAGCAAAGTAGTGCCAAAATAGAGCAAGTTAATGACACTAGGGAAGTTTGGAATGGAGCAACTAGATAACCCAATCGTATATTTAACTTATCCCAACACATAGGAAGTTTCAATTTCAACAAAATAAAAATAAAAACTGAACATGCTAACGTTAATATGATATTATTAATTCAATAGTCAAACTCAAACATGTAAATTAAATAGAGAAATTTAGAAAAAATAAATAAATTACATTGACAAATCATTTTAAAAATTTTCATCTAATATAATTGTCACACTTTTTCTTTTTTTGTTGAGGTTATTAATCGAAGACTTACACTAATACTTATAGATAAACAATCAATGATAATCCCCACCTAGAATCGAAAGTGAAATCTTTTTAGTAATGTTAATTCGATCTTATTAATTTAGCTAATATAGTGATTGATGATTTCATCAACTCTATTCATCAGCTCAGTTGTTTGCTCTTTTTAGCTGATCCAGTGCAATTTGAATTGCATGCCTTTGCGTAGTTTATGTGTTGCATTCAAGATTGTGCCTATCAATTTGTTCTTGGAGTACTGGGCTAACACAAAGTTATTTGGTGAGGTTCATCCATTTAGGAGATAAAGACTCCACACCCAAGATTAGAAATAATCTAGTATGTCCACTTAAAATTGAATGCCCAGTGCAATGCTATTATAGGTTGCATCAAATACTTTTTTCCCGTCATTACAAAATACTACATATGAGAATTGATCTTCTTATGTTTCTTTTTACTTGACCTTATCATGTGTCATTCACATATCAACAATTATAGTTTTAATAACAAAGCTTGTAAACAAAAAAATGAAAATGATCATTTTAATTATTAGTCATTGATTTATCAATGATTAATTAAGCTTTAACACATGATATGATATTATTAAATAAATTATGAGAGAATCCACTCGTGCTGTGGACACGCTTCGCTCACAACATGTACATGCCCTAAAACAGGTCAGATTAAATGCTGCTTTTAATTTTCCGTTATTTAATCACTCTAACATGTAGTCATGAATAGTTTCGTGTGTATGATCGTATGTTGGTAAGTTTTTCATATGGATGCAAACACACAAGATCATATAAGATTGTATGTTGATAAATTTCAGTATTTGTTCATTTTTTGTGTGGATAAATCACAAGTATCCTTTGCGGAAGATAATGTTGTTTAGAACGGACTCAAGATTAAAACTTTAAATCCATCCAAAAATAGTGTTGGAAAAGATTGAACACATACTCTCACTCTCAACTTTCATGCACCAACTGAACTACCTTCATTTGATAGTATTTGTTCATTTTAATTACTCATTCCTTACACATCGCAGCGCCAGTATTACTATCAAGATTATCACCATCAGCAAAAATCAATGCTAGGGTTTACGGTTGCAACAATGGAAAAGATGAAATGTAAATCTTTTCCTAAAAGTTTATCCCCGTAAAGTCTCACATTTATTTGGGGTAGGTTTGGTTCACCTTTTTGGCACCCATCTCGTTTTTTCATTGATAAATACGATAGACTTCTAAATATTTGGATAAAATCTTCAAATAATGCTTGATAATTAAGTGAATTAACACTGGGTACTAAACCCATAAGTGCAGTATAACAATCCCCTTTATCGAATATTAAAGAATGCAATTATATGGAAAATTGTATCAAAATTTCATCTCTTCAATTTTATTTTATTTTTTGGTAGGTCATCTCTTCCATTTTTACCTTAATTGTAAGATGAATTGTAAAAAACTCTTCGACCCAAAGGATATTTCATAGATAAGAGTGTACTAATTCCATTGGATACCAAGCTAAAAAGAATAAACAGGAATGTGGAGCCGTTTGCTACGTGGCTTTTTGTAGAATTCTCGGAAAACTGAATTTTTCTAAATTTTAAATTTTCAGATATTATCGTAAAATGAATACTTTCATCATATTTCTGAAAATCGAGATTCTCGGATAAATAAAAATTTCTCTTCTACCAAACGCCCAAGGTTTTTCCCAGTGAAGGAAAACCTTTAGGGTAGTCTAAACCGAAAAAAGTAACTAACCACCACCAACAACAAACAGGAGGGTTGTAAAGAACCAACTTAACCCAAAAACTTAAATTGTTATATGAGACTACATTAATAATTTTATATAATTCTAACACGTCCTCTCACACAAGAGCCCATTGAACATGAAGGGTGGATAATGCACAGGCCCACCTACCTGTGCTAAAAAACTCCACAATATTGAATTAATTAGTAATTAAATGGGAGACGGTGATGATTGACATCCTGTCATGAGGCTCTGATACTTTGGGTTAAATTGGTTCTTTACAACCTTCTTTAAGCTGTTAGGTGAGGTTAGAATAATAATTTTATAAAACTCTAACAAGGGTTATGACTAATAAGAGTCTTTGTGACCTTCAAGAAGCATGCTGTATTCATGAGCATGTACTTGCGTTCCATCAATTAAGCCAACACAAAGGTAATCAAAAAACATACCTACAGATTAAATAAGTTTATTAGATAAAATATCTCATCAGTTTCGTGTTACTTTTAATTTTCATTACCCTTCTCACAAGTCACAATCAAATAAGTTGGGGACAGAGAAGGGCAGGGAAAAGGTCAGTGCATTAATACATTATCATATTTCTGTTCAGAACACAACTTTCCCTACCTTACCAAAGGAGCTTTAAACCAAAAACATCCATATAATCTCCAATTGTTAACACTTTTTAAACAACATGTCAGACAATAACAGAATGTATAGTCATATTGGCAGCATATATATGTAAGCATTGAGGATAAATGGACAGCAATGTGAAGTAGGAAGGAAAACTATCCCACCTCTTTCCACAATGGCAAGCACATTTCGTCTATCCTCCTCTCAATCCCTTTCTGTTTGGCTAAAATATCGATCAGTATTTAGTGGTTGGTTCCGGCGGTCTGAATCATGAGTGTCAGGCACAGTTTCTCCATGCATGGGTGCAAAAGCTGCAATGAAGTAAATAAGGATTGATGAAAACTGAACCCTTTTTTATATAGAAAAAAGAAAAATATAGTTATAATGGAACCCAACAAAACAAAATTGCTAACAAAAACAAAAGATAGTTTGCTCCAGGGATGTTCTTGAATCACATGGGCATTTCTTGCAATTCATAAAATAAGTTATTCTGAAAAAACTTTACCTTGATACATATTGACTTCTAACAAAATTTTGAAGACTAGGTTTAAGGGTCGATTGGTTGTAAACATTAATACCGTGTACAAACAAAACAAAAATCCCTATTAGATATCATGATGTTGACATTAAATTGCTCCTTCAATACAAAATCTGAAGAAAATGACCCGATTGCTTTCAGGAGAAAGAAATTCATGGCAAACTATTTTTGTCCTCCAAAATTCTATGGAAAATTTGAAATTAGAATGGCATGAAAGAGAGCTTCCAGCATATACACATATAATTTCTCTCAATTTGACAAGCTTCTCTTACAAATATTACAATGCTGGACAGAAGAGAACAAGACACAAATAAACCCTTATCCAAAGGCCTAAAGCTCGATGAACTGTCTGGTGAAAAGTAGCCAAGCTGTTTATGAAATACTTCTGCTAGATTCAACTTAGGCTCGGCAATAACTTGATTTGTGGTTCATTTAGCAAAATTATGTCCCATTAAACTCAATGCACTACCCGGGAGCTAGCTGAATTTAAAAAACACACACACACACATAGTATACTCAGCTCACTAGCAAGTTCGTCTCTCTGCATCTCCAACATTGAAAAAACCAGAAAAAAATATTGGTTCAGCACCATAATGAGGCCAAAAGCACCACTGCTATTATTAAGTGCATCGGCCATTTTCAAAAATTTCATAAAAAATGTCCATTGAGAAAAAATGTATACAGGGATTACTAGAATTTGTGATTCTGTATGAGTATGAGTGTAACCAGCTCCATTGTAACTAACCTTTCTCTCTCATTCTTCTCTCTCTGTCATACTCAAATTTATCCCGAATAAGGTTAACCTTCTCTGAGACATCAGATTGCCTGTTTCCCCCAAAATTCTGGTCCTGCAATACAATCCAATCATCAGAGATAGTATTAGAGAAAACTATAGTAAACAATATTGCAATCTTAAAAGATTACAACTATATCATACAATTAGATCTAAAGAGGGCCTAGGTGTTGTGTCAACTAGTAACAATATGAAAATCAATCGGCATGAAAGATAATGATCATGTACCCTTAAGATCACCTGGGAGGGACTTACTCTTAGTTGAGGCAATAGTTGACCTGGGGATTTTTCTAATGTGCTCCAGGAGCACAACACTATTTCATGGTCCTTTACTAAAAAAGGAAAGTTTTCTTCCATTTATACCCTTTTCTTTTTTCAAAATTTCATCTCAATCCTTTTTATCTTCCTATTTTTAGAAAGGGAGAACAACTCCCGGAGCATGATAAACGAGCTAGGCCTGAGGATACCCTTACCAGACTAAAAAAAATTAAAACTGATTATCATTCCTTTCCCATTCTAGATTGCATGAACAAGATCCATCACCTCTCAAAGAAGAATATTCTTAAGTTGAAATTCCAACAGTCAAAGCATAAATATCCACAAAACTAAAATATGGTCAAAAGAAAAAAAAACTTTGATGCAATGTGATGGAAGCCCAAAGGTGAGGCTGTATGTTAGGTGCAACCACAGGGAATTATCGCCCTCACATGCTGAAAAGCATGAAACCATGTGAGCGGGAAAGTCTGTTAGGGACTGGGAGTGGTGCATGTGTGTGGAAGTTAAATAGGATGAGAGAGCAGGGGGCAAGGTTGTTAGTAGCAAAGAATTAGGAGAGCCCAAAGTCTCTCGAACACTCTTCACCACTGTTGTTTTGTGATATCTGTTATATTGATGTATACAAGCTCCCTGCTAGAATACAAGTTCTATCCATTTCCCTGTTCCTTCTCAATTTTGCGCTCTCTTATCTATCAACTCCATCACAATACAAACCGGAAAAATGCAACTCATTCATATGGCACTTTGTTCTGCATGACTTACTAATTAAACAATATCCTTAGAATTAAAGATATAAATTTAATGACATATAAAAACAAGACATATAAAAAATCTGCTGTACTAATCATCCTATAGTATATTAAAATCATTCAATTGTACCTTACTATTCTCTGTCGGGGACCTTCTACTCCTGAAATGCCATAACAGATAATACCAAGATTAGACAACATAATGACTGAAGTACTTTAAACCAATAATCTGATTGAGCAACAAAAATAATGTAATTTTGTTAAATCAAAATTTAAAATGTAAAGTTTGTCAACCAACTAACAATAGTGATGACCAGCAACTAATGTTTGAACAGAAAATCCAGCACCATACTTATATATAGCTAACAAAAAAGACCCTTCAAAATCTTTAAAGAATAATTGTTTGAATAAGACTCAATCCCTTGCATCAGCATGACCATCTCAACCATTTCAGTTGTCAAACCCATGCATGTTGTGACATTAAAAGCCATATCATATTTTCCGAGAAGAAAGCAGTTAAGATCCCTAGCAAGAAAGAGAAAAACAATGGAGGCAAACCTGTATGGGGAGAAATCTTCATCATCATCTTCAGCAGACTCGTAGTTTGCATGATCCAGAGCAAGCTTTTTCGAGTAACCCTCATCCCAATAAAGTCTCTCCCAGTTTTCTCTAAGTTCATTATACAGTTCCATATACTTTTTGCACCATGGATCGTGCTCCTTTCAGTACAATATAATTATTTTAGGACAACAGTCAAGATTGGAATTTCACAGTGATACATAAAAACATCACAAAAAGTAACAAATTGACAACTTCATTTCTCCAACAAGCAAGTCAATAATGCATCAGTACAACAAGATCCATCACATTTCAAATTCATATTAAGAAAGATAATGACCAAAGCGTACAAAGATAATGGCACAGTCTAACTGTTCTTGTTTCTATTTGGAGATTCGATCCACAGAAACATCTCTACATAATATCAATTTGTTCCCATGCTGTACAATTCCTTTTACCTAGTAAGGATGATAAAAAAAAATCACTCCCCGTTAAATCTCAACTAAAAAGGGTAGAAGTGAGGGCAATTCTTATACACAGTCTTACCTTAACGTATTTGCAAAGAGATTGCTTTTTGAATTTGAACTAGTGACCTTTCAGTCATAAAAAAATAGCTTTATCAGTATTCCAGAACTGTGATGATGTCAAACAAAAAACAAATAAAGGGCAATCTTGTGCTATAAAGCTCAAGGGAATTGTATAGGTCTATAAAAGACAACTTATGCATGAGGTTGATTACATGATTTGAATCTATAAGCTTTGGGTCACGTAACAAAAACACCAATAGTTGTGGCAAGACTGATAAAATAATTCCTTATTTTTTTTTTCAATAAACAAAATAATAGATTTGTTTTTTCATCTGTGAATGCAGATAAGTTATCTTCGTTAAGCTCAAATCGACGTCGTTTTGGAGCGGAAAATCAAGATATTTTTATAATTATAATTTATTATAATGTTATAATAGTCTTTACGATTATAATTTTTTAATCCGAAACGATGTCGTTTAAGAGTAAAGGTAGATAACTTCTCTCCATTCACTAATATTAAAGCCATAAATAAACAAAATAGCAGTAAAAAATATCGAACCAAAGCAAACTAAACCATCACAAAAAGGATTCCAATCATATATCAAACCTAAGATAAAGCACAACATAGATTAAACAATACTCAAACACCAAAAAAAAAAAAAAAAAAAAATCATTTTTTTCCTTTTTATTTCCTACACTATCTCCTGAATCAAACAGAAAGTGGATTAAAAGTAAATAAAATAAGAGTAAACACCTTTTTAGTCCCCGGCAATATCTACGAAGTCCTTTTTAGTCACTGGCAATAAAAAAAGACTAAATTAGTCCCGGAGAGTACAAGAAAAGAGAAAAGGACCACTCTACATATTTGGGAGTTGACATAAGGACTAACATGACTCATTTTTTTGTAATTTCAAGGACCAATTTTATCTTTTTTTATTGACGGGACTAAAAAGGACTTCGTAGATATTTACAGGACTAAAAAGGTGTTTACTCGTAAAATAAAAACTAACCGATTCCTTGAGAACGAGGCGAGTCCTACGCATGAATTGTTCCCTTAGTTGCTTGCGGCGCTTGTTGGGGATGTTCTCTCTCGGGATCACGAACCGCTCACGTGGTGGCACGTGATCGCCAATCTCGTGCATTTCGCCATCAACGACCCACCATTCCGACTTCTCCTCCGCTTTCTTCAGCGCCAGCGGCGGCGACTTGGGCCGTCGCCTAGAGTGACCTCCGCCGCCCCCGCCCCCGCCACCGCGGGTGTCGTTTCGAACAAAGCTGAGGTGGCGAAGGAGAAAGGGTGTGAGTGTGAGCGCGTGAATGCGTTTCATGACAGAAAGAGAAAGCATGGATTAGAGAGAGAGAGAGAGAGAGAGAGACGCAACAAAAGGAGAGGGCTCAGTGCTTCGAAGTGTGGTTGCTGGTTCCACTTGCACTGTTGTATTATTTCCAAGCAAAAAATGAGTGTTTCTTTGTTTTTATTTTATTTTAATTTTTTATATTAAACATTCAATATTCAGTATCTCCCAATCAATTTGAAATAGAGTCCAGTTCAATTATAAAAACTCAGCTAAAAAAATTCGAACTCGAAATCATAGATTTAGTTAAAACAATTCAGTGTCAATTAGTCTATGTGCATCATACTTTTTGTTTTAATTTTAATAAATAGCCGAATTATACTCTAAAAGAATATTAATTAGAACATGTAAAATAATCAAAAATTTGAAACTGAACTGCACTTAAAATAACTATTTTAAAAATCAGTTCTGATCCATTTTCGAATCGAACCAAATCGTTTAAACCAATTCAGTTTGATTTTTTAAAAAATTCAGTTCAATTCGACTTGTGCACACTCCTAATGTTAATAAACCATTTTATATACTATGGAAATTATGTCTAAGCTTTTTAGTAGAGTTTTTTTACCCATAGAATATAAAATCAGAAATATTTTATCCATTTAATTGTTTTGAAAAATTATTTACAAATCTAATATGAAAAGATGCGTATCTTGTTATTGCACATTGATGTTGCACATCACCCCATATACAATTTCTGTATAAATCAATGTGTGTCTGTCACATGTCGGATTTTATAAGAAGCATGTTGACGATCACGGCAAGTGCACCGGTCGTACAAGTAATATAATGTTTAAGTAAAGAATCGTTCTCACGAAGATTATAACTCAACCACTAGTTCACTACTTCGACTTAAGTTGGACAATCAAAATTGGATTTGTAACAAGATATGATTTGAATATTTAAAAATATTTAAACTAATTAATAGCAAGAATAAAAACAAGAAATTAAATATTTGAATTAACTGATAGAAATTAAACGTAGGTAGGGTTTCGATTTCCTTAAATCTCTCACGAACATGAACTGCTGCCTCCAAGTACCAAGAATTCTCCAAGAATATGAAAAAATGTGTAATTCTGCCCCAAATTGTGTTTTTATAGGCAAAGAATCCGTGCCCTGAGTGGATAATTCAATTGGGCCTAAGTTGGGTCGTGATGGGTGCTTAAGCCTTATGACACAGTGGCAATTTTTATATGAGGGCGCTTAAGCCCTCTCTTCAAAGAGAAACTTTTTACCTGACAGCGAGCTTAAGCCCCGTTTTGGGAGCTTAAACCCTTTCATACATAAACTTTTTAGTAATTGGGAGCTTAAGCTCCGAAATGGGAGCTTAAGGCTCCACTTTAAGAATTGTAATTTCTTCTATTTTCACTTGGAATCTTCATGATCTTCAAGGTTTTGAGCTCCAATTTTTTAAGCTTTATATTTGCTTCCATTTAATATCAATTACCTTCAAAATAAAAAATTATCAATTATTTAATTCATAATTCACAAAGTTCATGTTTTTACACTAATAAACCTTAATTTTCACCTATTTAACTTGATAATGCATGTAAATTTAGTCTATAAAACAAGATAAACTAAAGGTTTATCAAACAATTCCCAAATTTGAAGATTGTTGTCCTCAGCAATTAACTAGAATAAAACTATGGGAAATGGAAACGGCTAATCATGCTTAATGAATAACAAACAGGACTAATCAATAGTAAGATATCAGAGTATTCAGGTTTAAAATCAATGACACATCAAGTTCAAGCAAACATTCACAACTCACTAGTCATAAAATCATAACATGAGCTCTCAAGATAAAGAGTAGTATATTTCATATCCGTAACACCTTCTCACTAGGATTTTCATTTATTCACTCACACTCAAGTGTCTGAGAGTATGTGTTTTACTCATACGTATGAATTAACACTACTATAGGCTTGGTTATATTCTCACTCTCTACAGTCTAATTGGTATACAAAGTCAATCAAAAGGTATTTGTTAAGGTTGTAATGTGGCTTAGGTAACAGGGAAGGAATTATCTGGGTAAGTGGCTTGCTGATCAAAATTCAAATTCAAAGAGGAACTAGTATAACTGTTCAACACATAACAAACATATTTTCTTATTTGCTTCCTCCTCTTTTTTTCACTTACTCATATAACATTAGTCTTTTCTTTCTTTTCCTTCTTTTTTTTTATATATACACACTTCATCTTTTTTCTTTTCATTATTCACCACTTTTTGGCTTTTTCCTCTTTTCACCTTTTCTTCCTTACACTATGGTTTGATTTCTCTATTTTTGTTTCAATTACACTCAGCTCCTCATTTAAATTTGAATTTCAATCAATTCAGGTGAGGATATGTATGGAGTGGCTATTCGTAACTGTGTCAATGAAAAAAAAAAAGACTAGGCTCAAGGGGTTTAATCTAAGGGTGGCTATTTGGCCTTCTAGCTTTTAGAAAAAACTGCCTCTATCATTTCAACAATTGTATACCACAGACCATCTCAAGCAGAAACAAAACAAGTTCTAGAGTGATTCAAACAGTAAAGTGCACACCAAAAAAATTAATTCTCTGTTTAGGCTCAAAAGCTCGCGGCTAAGGGTGCAAGACTCATTTTCCACTCTTGATCTGATCACTATAGTTATTTTTCTCTTATTCCAGTGAATTATTATGCATGCTTGACTGATGTTCATTTATATGTGAAAATAGAGTTTACATCATCATACTCCTAATGTAAGAAATAAACAATCTCTTGTAATTATTCATTTCTGCATATATATGAGGTAGATTGGAAAAATTAAAATTCACCATCTTAAAAATTCACCAAAATTTAGTGATTGAGGATGGGATGAAGCGGGAATTAAAACTAAATTGAAAATTTTAAAATAATTAAAACTAGTACGAATTCAAAATAAAATAAAACTAAAATAATATGAAATTAAATTAAAAGATCTCCCTGAATTATTGCATCTGTATATTGGATAGTCTTTGTGTAATCAAGAATTCCTTTCGACCATGTGAAGTTTGTGGTCTGATGTATCGCGTGGTACCAATTCCCAGATTTAAATCTTGATGTCCTCAGCAATTAATTTAAATCTAAAAAGAATCCTTAGCGAGAAATTAGTAAATTAATATACTCTGAAACAGTCACAGAAAATGAAACTACGGTCAGCATGTGATATATCCAAAAAATCATGTCAGGATCAGTCTCAATATACATCTCATATCATCATGAAAACAAAATCAATAGGAAAGAAAATAATAATAATAAAGAAAAAAAATCTAAGCACTGAGACAATGGTCAATCCTCATCAATGTCAGTAGTGGGTGCAATATCATCTCTATTAGCATCCCTTGGGTTCTACTCTTATGTTCACCTGTAAATTCCATCTCAAGAATATAATCATCAGTCTTAGTGCCTAAATTTTTTTATTTTTATTTTACTAACAATAAAAACAAATAAAATAACTAAAAGTAACATAATGAAAAATATAAATTGTTAGGTTGCCTCCCATAAGTGCTTGTTTTACGTCACGAGCCTGACGTACCATACTTGCGATCATGATGGCTCAAAGCATGGGTTTAATGATGATCCAGCCCCTTCTTTAAAAATTTGTGCCCCTCCATAATTCTCTTGTGCATATGGATGAGATACATTATCCTCAGGAACTCTAAATTTAGCTTTTATGTGTTTTTCCTTGCTCATGGGCTTCTCTATTTTAACCTTTGGCTTACCTATTTTATAAGACTCCTCATTATGCTCTTCCCTATCTTTCTTTTCTCCAATATGGTAGACTTGATCTTCTGGTTGAGTTATAGGTGAGGAAATTTCAAAGAACTTGAATATGGCCTGCTTTCCGTTTACCCGTAGGATCAACTCACCTTTAGGTACATCAATCAATGCTCCAGAGGTTGCCAAGAAGGGTCTTCCGAAGATCATAGGAATAATAGCATTTTCCTCTATATCAAGGATGACAAATCAACAGGAATGATGAATTTGTCTACCTTTACCAGTATGTCCTCAATGATGCCATAAGCTTGCTTTGTAGAGCGGTCAACCAGTTGTACTATTGTTGTAACACCCCGTATATATCCGGCAATGTTATCATAATATCGTATTAAGCTGCGCTTAATTAAAAAAGCAGAATTACTTTTTCTTCTCAATTATGATGCCATTAACATTACCAACTTGCTTAATAATCAATTAATAAAACATCGCCTATATGTAATTGCAATAAAACAGCTAACTGAAATACCTCATAACATAGATAATATAAGTGTGGCTCTAGTCACGGAACTACAACAACATAGACCGGACCATCTAACAGTTTATACAACTCCAATCTAAAAGTACTAACAGAAAGTGTCATGGACAATCCCCATGCTCACTCAAATAAGGCAACATGCCCAACATCAGTCTCAACAACAACATATCATAAATAGCGGAAAACATAAACAGCATCCAAATCCAGTCATGCTAACATAAAGCAGTAAAACATAATCAGCTAAGCTCTGGCCTCCTGCCGCCTGAGGCATCAGTACCCATACTACCTGATCCTGAAATAAGCATTCCCCAAACGTGAGGTAAGATCTCTAATCTAGAAATCTCAGTAAGTCAGTGAGTCCTCAAGGATCTTCCACCCCAAGCTCACTTACATGTGCAATATAAGTTCAAAAGCAGTTTATCATTTATCAATTCTAAAACAATGCAATGCAGCAGATAATCATGCCATGTGTGTCAATACTAATCTACTGGCCAGAGACAGTGCAGGTATACGTCTATCACCTACACACCGTGCAAGTACCACTTGCATTCACCCCGGTACACCGTCTTGTATGGTGCTACATACTCAGGCTTCCCGTCAAGATGAAACAACACATGCATATTAAAAGCCATTACATGTAAAGTTCAATCAACATATCAAATATCCAAAAACATGTACACAGCATGCATAAACCATACCCCCATGGGACATGGTGGAACCACAACATGGCTAAACCGAGGACACGAAAGCTTACCTTGCAAGCTAACTCCAAAAGCCAAGAGTCCACAACTCAAAGTCCAAACACAACAGATTCATA